ATGCATATATGAAATTTATTTGTTAAATAAGAGTGCCAAAATTTTCTCTACGCTGTCGCAACATAGTTTACCTCAATAATATTCGATCTTGAATTTATTAAAATTCGAGATACTGTTTCATATAAAGCAACTGAAAGTTTTATTTAGTTACTCCTTTTTGGTTACGGAAATGTGCTGAAGGGCAATATAAAAACTTTTAAAGCACGATTAGTAAGTAAATTTATACAGATAAGAAGTGTTAATCTTAAGTAAAGAAGAAAAACTTAAACCTAAAAAAAATTAAAATAATAATTGAAAATAAAGAACGACAATAACAAATAATAATAATAATAATTATAGTAATAAATTAATAATACCAATTGCAGAGATTATTCAATCCACATTAGAGCACGCTTGCAGCATGGCGATTGAAAATACACACATCTCCCCTATTGCCTTTTGGTGTCAGCTGCCATTGCAGACGCAATATATGTTTCTTTATCGCAATGAAAAAACCAAAACAAGGATCGAAGATACTGTAATTTTTATTTTCATAGGAATGTAATGGCAATAAACGACACCAACTACCTGAATAGCCGGGTAGGTGTGAACCGCTACTACCAAGTCAGTGTTCGCGTGTTCAAATCTAAAGAGTAGTGGGGACCCCTGAATGATTGATCGTATTAAAAAAAGGCCTAAGTCACACTCAGGCTCAATAAGATTGATATAGTATCTATAATTTGACAATTACGGAATATTCTAGGATCGACCTAACGCTAGATGTGTACAAACTTATGACAACGTTAAGTCCTCGAATTCTTCATACTATTTTTTAGTGAAACTTAGGAGAGATTTATATACAGAAAACTCAATACCAATGCCAAGTCAACACAAAGTCATGGATAATTTGTACGTCGTTAAAGCTCGAAGTCCTTTCAAGAACGTAATTATTGTTTGAATAAAAAATAGGCAATAAGTTTACCCAAGACCGGAAGAATCTCTTCATTTTTTTTAAACAAATCGCAAAGTCGATTAAGAGAAAGAAAATATTAACATCATCAACAAATATTAGAATTCTACAATATTGGCTGTACTTGGGAAGTTCATTACAAATAGAATGAAAATGGTAAGATTATGATGATTACTTGGCGAAGCAACTGATAAAATGGAAATGTCGCAGGGATGAGAAGAATAACTTTTGATAACATCGCGTTAGATGACTTCGAAGGCATGAAACCATATTATTACTAAATATAGGACTTCAACTAAAAAATTAATAGATGATGATCGATGCCGTCCATAAGAAGTCAGTATAAATTTCAAAAAGTCAGTAGAAGTTACATCAGAGTTCGCTGGTAATCAGTAAAAATATTTGAAAGGCATTACCCATAGGTTCCAAAAAAATTATTATACGCGTATCTTCCTACAAAAGAACTATATGTCAACAAGAGAGGATTATTGACGTTATAGTAGACGTAAATTTTATTAGTAACCAGAGCTTCGAACAGCTTCGGCAATGCACTAGACTTAGCAATACTTTTTAATAATATTTCTAAAACAATTTTGATATAAGAAAATAGTCTTTCAAGTGGGAGAAAAATATCCTTTCCTCAAACAATTGTTCAAAATAGCGGTTAATGCAATATAAAGTAATTTGGCATGTCGTTGAAACATATAGGACGAAATAGAACATAGGGCCTGGGAGACAACAAAATTTAAGGGTAGACAGGGATTTATTTTTGGAGAAAAACACAGACGGAAATATGACGACTTTCTTAACGGAATACTGATAACTTTAGAACTACCTATTTGCAGATCAATCAGATTTCCCGAATTAGTCAAGAAAATGGTTAAATATGTTCATCACATTCGAAGATTCCGAATATTCCTGTAGAAGAGAACAGAAGGAAAGCCCTCAATTTTACGTCTAGGATTAACGAATTTATCAGTTCGTTTTGGATTCGAGACTAATTTAAAGAACGGGATGGAAGAATTAAAATTGGAAAAAAAAATCTTGTTCAAGGCAGTAAGAGTTTGTCTTGCTCTTGAATACAAACTATTGCACCATGTTTTTATTTCTTGAACAGTCTGCTTTTTTGTTTTGAACTGATCTCATTTCTACAATAAACAAGATAGAACATTTAATGGATAACAGTGTAGACATACTAAGGATTAAAGACCAAGGAAAAAAGAACACAGCGAATTTCTATAAACATCGTATATAACTCTCCAGCAGACCATTCAGCGTTATCAAGAAGGTAGGGAGATGCGGATATCCTGAGAAAAATGAATGCATTTTAAGGGAAACAACGACATTAGTGCCATTCTGGAAGGGCAAGTCATTAAGTCAGTCATTCTCATTATACACGCCACTCAATAAGTGTCCGGTCTGATATATATATATATATTAGTTTGGGGAAAAAGAAATCCATTATTTTTATATGAACTTCAGGACTTTATTTAACATGCTTCGGATTGTCCGATTTGGGTCAAATATGCACCGTTTTGTTGTATGATTTGTTGCCATTTTAAAGGTAACTTCAAAAGGCCTCTCTCATAGAAGTCCTGGTCTCTATTTGCAAAGTACTCTAGTAGTCGATTTTCACAATCCTCCCTAGATTCCAATTTTTTATCATTAAAGAAATTTTGCAATGCAAGAAAAAGATGATAATCGCTTGGTGCCAAGTCCGGACTGTATGGCGGATGCATTAAAACTTCCCAACCAAGCTCCCGAAGTTTCTGGCGAGTCACTGTAGATGTATGTGGCCTAGCGTTGTCCTGGTGGAACACGACACCTCTCCTGTTGGCCAATTCTGGCCGTTTCTGGTCAATCGCTATCTTCAAACGGTCCAGTTGTTGACAGTAGAGATCAGAATTTAGCGTTTGGCCATATGGAAGCAACTCATAATAAATAATCCCCTTCCAGTCCCACCAAATGCATAGCAAAACCTTCCTGGCCGTTTGAGGTGCTTCACCGCTCTTTGACCACGATCGTTTTCGCACAGGGTTATCGTATGTGATCCATTTCTCATCTCCAGTCACCATCCGTTTAAGAAATAGGTCTATCTCATTCCGTTTGGCCAAGGCTTCGCAGGTGGAAATTCGATCCATCATGTTTTTTTCTGTTAATTGGTGTGGCACCCAAACATCGAGTTTCTTTTTGAATCCAGCTTTGTGTAAATGGTTTAAAACTGTTTTATGGTCGATTTTTAGCTCCTGGGCGATGTTACGACTGCTGACATGCCGGTCAACTTCGATCATTTCTAAGATTTTATCGACATTTTCTTCGACCGGCCTACCTGTGCGAGGTGTATCTTTAACATCAAAAATTCCTGAACGGAATCTACGAAACCAAAATTGCACATAATTGGCTGTTACAGTATCGGAACCATAAACACCATTCACAATTTTAGCCGCCTGCCTTGCATTTTCGCCTTTGTCAAAGAAAAACTGTAAAATGTACCGAATTTTCTCTTTGTTCACTTCCATTTTTAACACGCTGTAAAAAAGCAAAAGAATTTTTTTTACTGCAAAATGTACAATATGTAAATGTACAGTATCGGAAATTGTTTGATCGATACTTTACGAGAAATCTATCAGTGCAGCCATCTACCGAAAAAATAATGAATTTCTTTTTCCCCAAACTAATATATGATTGACGAAATGCGATTAAATCGAAAGAGACCAAATTTATAATTTCAATGAAAGAACTCATTCAAAATCAAAGGTACAAAAAATAAATCAAGCCCCCATTAAAAAACCGTCACGCAAAATCAGATAAATCAAAATACCCTAGCACTATAATTTTATCGCCGGGCTTCCGGAGAGTAATTATATTACTAATTAGAAAAGTGTGCTTACTATAAATTGTCAGATTGATCAGACAAACGAAAGAACGAATATAGGAGGAATAAGGCCGATTGTGATATTCCACACATAACTCTACCTTATGTGCATTATGTTTCAATAAAAAATAACTCAATTTTCTATTGCGTAAACATTATCACAAACGACATAGTATTACTTGAGCTTTATTTAAAAAGTCTTGCAGAGACCAATCACTATTTTTGATTCCAATTATATTACTACGAATTAGGCGCTATGAACTCTGTTCATCCATTAGCTCTCTGAAATCTTGTGAATTTTTTATCAAAGAGTGGTAAACTTCTTCACTTGGCAAATTCATGCATTCTTGGTCCGAAACTACAAGACAGTAATAATTAGGTGCGTTAAAACGTGCGCAAGCATTTTAATTGAGACATTTACATAAACTGGATATTTATTCGTTCTTGAATTAATGGAGAGAATACTCGAAGAGAGCTAGCTATTGGAAATATTTAGTCTGCAGGAAGCCAAAAACTTTCATATAATAACAATAACAACAAATTGTTTGAGCGGAAAATCAACTCTGTGTCGTATGAATAAGAAGAAGTAAGTTTGGTTAGAGATCGTTTGGAGGCAAAATTAACTCTGAGTCGTATTTTTTATTTTTTTTAATGTGACCAAACGCTGAGGAGATGGCCCATATGTGACCCACGGTGATCGTTAGAACGAGGTGAGGAAAGAAATAGGAATATTGTTAACCGCGCATTTGTGGGTGTGGGACCAGTCGATAAATGGTATGTCTTTACTGAATGAAAACGACCTGCGACTACGACCAAACGCTGACTAGGTAATCGCGGCTCTCATATCGAACATGAATTTGTTGCATGTAACTGACATTTAATCGAGGGTCTATCCGCCTGAGTGGCCGAGTAGGCAAGAGTCTCGACTAGCAACTACATGGTCGTGGGTTCAAATCTCAAGTGCGGTAGAGTTTTTCATAAAAAGCCGAAAGCCTAAGATGCTACTGATTTTAAGACTTTAGTCATAGAATTTATTCTCTGGCTAAATTTATAATCATAATAATACTAATAATAATAATAATAATAATAATAATAATAATAATCGAGGGTCTATAATAAACATAAAATAATAAGAAACCTTCATATTGTCAGTTAATTATTGTTATAAGTGATTTTCAAAGGGGTTACAATGCGGTAGTCTATTTTTGTTTGTTTTTGGGTTTTGCGAGAAATGTTACTTAGATAGAATATAAACTCTCGTTTGCTTATTTGACTAAAGGAACGAATACTGTTTTTTTAGCAAAAACGGCTAAATAGCTTGACCATTTCGTTTTCGCTTAGTTTTCATATGTTTCACCAAAATCTTTAACCATTTCTCTAAAACGGCGCGCTTTCTTACCTACAGCAACAATAGGTTTTTCGAAATGGTATGTTTAGTGGCGCCATATATAGATGACTATTTGAGTTGAAATGTAATAATAAAAGCCGAGTTAGACAACGCGTTTATTGCGCAGGTAAAAGTCTTTTATTCTTCATGAAGTTTTCCAATCGCAATAGATGGCGCCAATATAATGTACTATATTGAAAAAATCGTCTTGATGTATTTCTGCTAGTCTCTGTCATGAATTATAAGCTACAGTTTTTTACGGGCGTGGTCATAGGCGAATCCTGTATATTTTCAAATTCGATCAATGTTCATTAACCAAGAGTACCCAAGTTTTAGATTCCAGTCTCAATTTTTGCGGTCGCGAGCGTTTTATCAGCAAACAAACAGACAAGCAAAAATACAGATGTACATGGTTATATTGTCTTACGTTCTTAAGTATATACTCAGGTGAATATTTCAGAGTGTTTTCGATAAGTGGATATAGAAATGTAACTAACATGATGCAAAACATCTATTGAAAAATAATCTTACTATCACAGGAATTCAACTTCTTCTTTATGATGATTACATCGAGCTCACTAATATTTCAAATAAGATCAGTGTATTACACTCAGTATATATATAAATACGTTGAATACGTGTGGAATATTATAAAGGAAAAGTTTTAAAAATAGATTATAAAACAAAGTAAAAAAATATATCAACTTGCTATTTAGCCCAGACCTTTTAATCAACCCGATTATAATGTTTATCAAAATGATATTGGGAAACTTCATAAAATATTGAGGAAGTTGTTACCTTTTCTTTTGTTTGTGTATTTTACTTTCTTAATTAATGAAACTACTCGTGAACTTTAACAATAACCCATCCCTTCAGATGCAATCAACGCAACAAATATGATGCAGCAAAAGGATAACTAGTGTAGGCGGCAGTGTAAGAAGATGCAATATAGGGAGAAGTGTAGGGGGCATAATAGGATGAAGTGTAAGCAGGCGTTGTATATAGCGAGGCGGCCACCAAGGGGGACGAATAAGCCAATGGTGCAATTACAGCCGGTTTTGCCGAAACCAACGTGACCAATAAAGGTATTAAACACAAAATAAACTACAAAGTAAAGGGAATAATATAAACATCATAAATATGCACATAAATCGTTTATTCACATAATACGAATCGATTTCATTAAGAACGCTTATAAAAAAAGAACTACTTACAAATTTATACATACTTTGTTGAGGATTTATTGATGGTTGTGGTGGTGAAGATAGTGGTAGATTTAATTAAAACTCCGATAACAAATGATTGAAAACTCCAGCTATTTATACTAAATTTTGTGAGTTGTTTTGTGATTGAAAAGTGAAGTAATAATAAAAAATAAATTTGGTTTTAATTTATATTCGTAACAGAAGTTGCTGTTTGAAATATTTGTATGAATAATTTATTTAATCATCAGGAAAAGAAAAACAAAAAATTTATTGTTTTGTTTACAATACATGCTGCTAGTTAATATATATTTTATATTGCATATTAAGTACTAAATATTAAATATATTATATGTTTTATACTATGTCTGATGTTATATATTATATATTAATTTTATATTTTATATATCATATATCACATATATCATAAATATGCATATACACATAAATATTATGTGTTACATATTTTATATTATATACACGTTTATCTGTCGTTCTGTCAAACTGTATTTTAAAGTCCCAGTTATAAAGATTCAGTCAAAACCGAAAAACTTGGCACACTAATATACTTCACACTTAATTTTCTGAAATAGAACTAATAATAAGACCGGTACGATAACGACACCTGCAATGTTGATGGAATCAATCCCGGTTAAAGACGAAAGATTATGAATGGATCGATAGTTTTTGTGATCAACATATTTGGCCGTTTAAATTAAAGGGCAACTTATTGACATAGTTAACGTAACTATGATTTAAAAAGTAGGAAAAACTTTTTTTGCAATTTTGTAAGCAATAGGAAAAGTCGACTTAGTTTTTGAGACCAAAAATTTATTAAAAAAAACAAAAACACTAAAAAATCAACATTGTCTATTAATAATACTATTATATCCACTGCAACTATATTATACGTAGTTCTTAGATATCTCCACCATTTGACATATATCCAGTTTAGAGTGAATCAGCGGCCAATTCGAAATTCAATCATAATTTAAACGTAGGACTAAAAATCGAAAGTTTTTACTTGGCAAATGCTCTTCCAGCCCTTGGCTCAAATTAAGGCTCGATTCAGATTAAACGATCAAGCGTAATATTAGTGCTGAACAATCAACTCCTGTCAAATATTTACAAAAGCTTTCTAAATATTTTATTCTAAAGTTTATTCATAATGCGTTACAAATTTAATCAAAGCTCCAACGTAAAATAGGGACGGCCAACTTTTTCCTTAAGCGCCTGATTTTTTTTTCTTGCTTTTATAGCGTTTGTTGCGTCTCTTACACAATAAACAGAAGAGAGCTCATTTCTTTCATCTTATTGCCGGACATTAAAGTGAAAATAACTTATTCGAATCTTTATTGCTATTGAATATATTCTCTTGGACACCGCAGGCAATGAACAATTGCTTATAAGTTGAGAGCATCTATCTTACAAACGAAATTTAAAAAACGAAAGCTTGTGCACATTTTTAGTATGAAGTGATGCCTTGTACTTCTTGAATAGGTCACGTACAAGAATATTTAACAACAACGATCAAGGTGTTGGGTATTAAAAAATTCGATTCTAACCCCTAACACAATATGTTTGCCTAATTTTTTATTTTTTGCCTTTTTTATGTTTACGTATTATGTATTTGTATGTAATTACAGAAAGTGTTGTAGAATTTAAATTAAAAATCGATTTTTTGCTTTGCTTCATCAATGAATGAATGAAATGTGTTCCATCGTGTTTTAACCTTACTCAACGTCGATGTGTTGAGTTTATTGTGCCAATAACCTCCAGCTCAATGAAGAAGAATTCATCCACCATATGCACACATCATCTATTCCCACACAAATACGTAAGCATACACGCACATATAAGCAAATGCTTGCACACGTATTATTTACAAACAACAACAAAATTTTTCATTAAACCAATTTTGAATTGTTTTGTATGCTTCAAAAACTCGAAATACTTTCTATGAGCCAATTATGTCACATACATATGTTTATAAAATTTTATGTACAAATATATTTGTTTGGGGAAAAAGAAATCTATTATTTTTATATGAACTTCAGGACTTTATTTAACATGCTTCGGATTGTCCGATTTGGGTCAAATATGCACCGTTTTGTTGTATGATTTGTTGCCATTTTAAAGGTAACTTCAAAATGCCTCTGTCATAGAAGTTCTGGTCTCTATTTGCAAAAAACTCTAGTAGTCGATTTTCACAATCCTCCCTAGATTCCAATTTTTTATCATTAAAGAAATTTTGCAATGCAAGAAAAAGATGATAATCGCTTGGAGCCAAGTCCGGACTGTATGGTGGATGCATTAAAACTTCCCAACCAAGCGCCCGAAGTTTCTGGCGAATCACTGTAGATATGTGTGGCCTAGCGTTGTCCTGGTGGAACACGACACCTCTCCTGTTGGCCAATTCTGACCGTTTCTAGTCAATCGCTATCTTCAAACGGTCCAGTTGTTGACAGTAGAGATCAGAATTTAGCGTTTGGCCATATGGAAGCAACTCATAATAAATAATCCCCTTCCAGTCCCACCAAATGCATAGCAAAACCTTTCTGGCCGTTTTAGGTGCTTCACCGCTCTTTGACCACGATCGTTTTCGCACAGGGTTATCGTATGTGCTCCATTTCCCATCTCCAGTCACCATCCGTTTAAGAAATGGGTCTATCTCATTCCGTTTGGCCAAGGCTTCGCAGATGGAAATTCGATCCATCATGTTTTTTTCTGTTAATTGGTGTGGCACCCAAACATCGAGTTTCTTTTTGAATCCAGCTTTGTGTAAATGGTTTAAAACTGTTTTATGGGCGATTTTTAGCTCCTCGGCGATGTTACGACTGCTAACATGCCGGTCAACTTCGATCATTTCTCCGATTTTATCGACATTTTCGACGACCGGCCTACCTGTGCGAGGTGCATCTTTAACATCAAAAATTCCTGAACGGAATCTACGAATCCGAATGCACATAATTGGCTGTTACAGTATCGGAACCATAAACACCATTCACAATTTTAGCCGCCTGGCTTGCATTTTCGCCTTTGTCAAAGAAAAACTGTAAAATGTACCGAATTTTCTCTTTGTTCACTTCCATTTTTAACACGCTGTAACTCACAACTGAATGCACCAAACAAAAAGCAGCAAAAGAATTTTTTTACTGCGAAATGTCACCTTTCCAACGAGCATAAATATGAAATTGTTTGATCGATACTTTACGAGAAATCTATCAGTGCAGCCATCTACCGAAAAAATAATGGATTTCTTTTTCCCCAAACTAATATGTTTTGTTAAAAGTATTAATATTAGTGGTTGCTGTTTACGTTGTCAATTCTATTATATTCATTATTATTTTTGTAGCTGCAACAAAGGCACGAGAATTAATGCAATTGAAATGTAAAACGAGAGAAGTAAAATAAGAAAAAGAAACGAAATGAATTGAAAAAAAAAAGATGAGAAGAAAGCCAAAGAAAGGTCAAGGAAAGAGATGGGAAGAGATGGGAAGAGGGCAGAAGTGCAGAGGTGAGGAGAGAACAGAAGAAAAAAGGAAGGAAACAAACAGAAGAAAAGAAAAGTGTAGAAAAGGAAAGATAAGGAAAGAAGACCTAAAAGATAAAAGCAGAAGGGTAATGCAGTGAAGTGAAAAAAAGATAAAAGAACTTATCCGACTCATCGCACAGCTTGTTTTTATACATAACATTGCAGCAGTCCCTCACTGCAACGGAACAAGAAATATCAGAAAAGTTGGGCGTTACAAATCCAGGTAGAATTGCGAATTCTTTTAGATCTTGCAAGAAAATGGGATATGAATCGATATTCTAATAAGATCAAGCTTCTGATTGGTCTGTCATACATATATATTTCTATTGAAAGCGAAATTTCTCGAAATAATGCAAAAGCAATAAAAAAATTTCCGACGCTTTACCGGCTAACGCTTCAAAATAAAAGCGTCCATGCGTTAAAAATATTCAGTGGAAAATGCAGCGGGTAAGAGGAAACAAAAACAGTAAAACAACAGTTTCCTTATCTATTCTGAAAGTTTTTAAGGATAGGATTCGATAAAGCCAAAAGAATGGAATCATTGGCTTCAAGGCAAAAATGCGATCAAGGCTTTTTAGGCGCTTAATTAAGTGAAGTGTTTTCGAATGATGAATATAGAAAAGTTTTTTTTAAATTTTATAAATAATTTTCTGTAAATAGCGCAACCCGCAATACAGCGTTAGTGCTAATATGCATACCGAAAATGAATTTTTCTTAACAAGATATGTATTACAGGGTCCGGCTTTGAGACGTACATGTCTAAAGGTGTGTTTAGTCATAGATATTTGTTAATAATAATCAGTCGCAACACAATGCACATCGTAATGTAATAATATTATTTCTAATAACTGAGACGTGCACTTTCCTTTGGACGAAAATTGCCGTTTACGTGCGAATTTACCGTCCTTACTTAATTAAATTTTGTTCAGCTTTATCACCTCGGATGAATTCCCCGTTATATCTGGCCTACCTCAAGGAAGTCACTTAGGTCCCATTTTATTTAGTTTATAGAGTAACGATCTTTCATCGGTGGTTAATTCCAGCCACCTCTTAATGTATGCGGATGATGCGAAACTGTTTTCCTCCTTCTTTGTTGAATTGCAATCACATGAGCTTCAAGGTGACTTGGATAATTTTGTTGCATGGTGCTCTGTGTATCTTCTGAAACTAAATCTGAGTAAATGTAAGAAGCTTTCTTTCTCAAGAAGAAAGTCATTCATTACTCAGTATTTCATAGATTCGCATAAGTTGGAGGACGTCGATTCCATCACAGATTTAGGCGTTCTATTTGACCATAGGTTACGTTTCAACTTGCATATTGAGCACTCGATAAGCAAAGCTAGGTCCGTGCTTGGGTTTATAAAAAGGTGGTCCAAAGAGCTTGATGATCCCTACATTACGAAAAGGCTGTACATGCCGTGCGTTTGGTTAGACCTATACTCGAGTAAACCTCTGTTGTGTGGTCTCCTTCATATAGGTGCTATGTAGATTCAATTGAATCTGTTCAAAAGCAATTCTTGCTGTTTGCCCTTAGAAATTTGGGTTGGGATCCGATTACCTCTCTTCCTCCCTATGAAAATAGGTTGCATTTGCTGTCCTTACCGTCTCTTGAGAAACGTAGGTTTGTTCTTGGGGTTTCCTTTGTAATCAAAGTAATAAATGATGCTATTGACTCGCCTTTATTACTTGGTGAAATAAGCTTTAATGTCCCTAATCGTTTCTCTAGGCACTTTATCTTGGTTAAGCTTAGTCAGTGCAAATATAATTATGAGCTGTTTAATCCGCTCAGAGTTGTTTGACAGAACCTAAATGATGTCTATCACTTATTCTCATTATCGGACTTTTTAAAGTCCATTAAATCAGCATTGCTTAATGCGCATAATTTACCTATGTCGTACTTAAACTAGCTCTTAACCTAAAAAGTCGTTACGATTCGAAAATATATTGTTGTAAAATAAATAAATCAATAAAAGCACAGTACTGCTGAATCGTTATTGGTGGTGAACAATAGCCGATATCCAAAGTCAAATAACCATCATGCATACTAAGCGAATTATTAAGTTCGATGATAAAGCCGAGCATCCACAGCAGTTTCATTTTATGGTATCAGCTAAATTAATTTTATTTGATGTGAATAGCCCACTTAAAAACAACCCCACTAGGGGACGCTATCAAAAGCAACTGATGCAGTTAGACAGAAAAATGGTCGTTACATGCTAAAATTTATGGTATCAGTATTTGTCAATATACTGACACTCAACCAACACTTGCCTAGGAATCGTCAGGAGCTCTAAAGAAGAACACAGTACCTTTCGTGTTGTATTCATCAAAGACTACACTTTACTACACTAGCTATAAGCTGCGAGCTACGGCAATACCCGAAATATGCGCCTTTTTGTCCTCAACCTCATAATGCCAGTTGCTTTTCCTGCAAGGTATTTGATATTCTACTTAAAAGATGTGAGAAATTATGACCAGTGGTAGATAGTGCTTTAACTAAAGCATTTTTGGTATATCTCTCCAAATATTTAGTTTATCGTTGACCGAAAAACCGGAAATTTAATTAAGCCCAGAAAGACTTAAACTTGATTAAGAGTACAGAGAGTTCCTCTGGCAAGTCGTTTGTAAAAACGCGATCACTTCAACGTCGCAATAGCAACAATAGCAATGCTAACAATAGCGACAGCATTTTTAACAATAATAATAATAAAAACAACCGTAGCCTCAGCGACGGCAGCAGTTGCAGTAACAGCGACATTAATAATAACAGCAGCGACAATAATACCAACTGAAATAACAATTACAGCAATGAATGTGATTGTAAACAACCACTTGGGTGTCCATGTTCCTTGTAACGTTCGTAGTTTCTCTTCATCTCATTTCTAATTCTTCGCCATCTTTATTTCAGGGCGGAGTTGGTTGTTTCGTGGCAGCATATGGCGAATGCTTCATCGATAAAACCATAACACTTACCGATCTGGCCCATATATTGCTACGTCCGATGCTACTCCCCAAGGTTCGAGGCTTTCGGCTTAAATTACATTGTCAAACATGACGACAGTTAGCACGTGGGCAAATACGCTACGGTCGCATTTTGTGCAGGATATGCACGCATACACAAATTTTGAGCAAATGTATTGCCTCTTTGTGAGAGCCCGATGAGTAAAAACAGTCATCTACGTTTTGTGATCCAATCTCCATTTCTTTGACTATCACAAAATTCCTAGTTCTATTGTGCACAGAATCCTTGTGATATAGCTACTCAACAGTATTGAGTGTCAAGTCCAGCAGTATAATAAAGCATTCAACATTCCGGACACTTCTCTTTGGGTAAAATTCACAATTTGCTTATAGAAGCTGAAACTCAGATAAGGTAGTTTCCTTAAATGTCTTCGGCACTCTACACAACTCAATATCATCTATGTTATACAACTGTTCCGACAGCGATTGCAACGTCCACAAAGTGTCCCCTGTTTGCTATTCGAGCCAAACAAAGTGATTGAAGTATTATAACACTTAAAAACATCATAAGGCAGTTTTTAATGGAGTCAACGCCCATTCCTAGTATTAATGGATATTACAAAACGTCACTTGATAGTACCACTTATATATAAACATTTATTGCTTTACTAATTTGTAAGCGTATGCAAGTATTCAATAGAACTTTGCCTACAAGTTATGATAAATTGGGCAGAACTTAATAATTTCTTTAGGAGTATTAATAAGGAACTTGGTTTGTTAAGCTTTATCCTCGGAATTCGGTTCTTAAACTGAAAAAATGTTAAACTGAATGTGCTGGTTGAATTAATTTTTTGGAACTCGTCCTTACCGTATACCTATTAACTACAGCCCCGATTAAAAAAGTCGCATGCTTGATAGCTATTGCAATATTTCGACAGTGAGTCGTCGAAAAGGTCCGCGGCAATCTCAATAAAGACAAAACTTCAAGGTCAGATGCCATCTCAGTAGGCATTTATACTGATACAAGACGGATACCCTAGATTGATTCTAAAAGTGATTTTCAATCGATCGGTATAATGAAAAATGGGTCTACATCAAGTCCTTCGGGGTATTGCATACATCCGCGCAAACTTAATATGTCCTTGAGCCACAAACAGTACAGGGTATAAAAAAAGCTAATAATAGAATGCTTAAAGTTCCATTGTTTACACTCTTTTATTGAACTTGCTTTTGTGTAAACGTGGATAAATCCTAATCTATACGCTAATCGGACGCCACCGAGTGGCGGATAACAATTTCCTCGACAATCCCTACGATATGCGTATAATAGCTTGGAAGCTAAGCGCGTTAAATCTAAATTAAATATAGTGAACGACACGATGAGATCGATTAATATGTTTCGTAACAACCCCTCCATATGGATACTAAATGAAAGGGCTTGGAAACTGGAATGCGAATTGTCGGAGGTTAAAAAGTAAAAACAAATTACATTCAATTTTTTTTTTTTAAATAACATAGTATTTAGGAAAAATCAAATTTCTAAACATTAAAGTCTTCTGTGCAGAATAATGATAATTTCAACGGACTAGTGACCTCAGATTTAAGCCCTTTCAAGCAATTAACCAAACATTCATTAATTTAGCAAAAATTCAGTACCGATCGCCTCTTCTGCTTTAATACAAAATAATTTCTTAATATCGAAAATATTATTATGTGTGCAGTTGCGTTGAGTTGCTTACAGAATACTTAATAACCCTAGCTAAACTTTTGTCGCATGTGTTAGAATACATTTTCGATACAATCATAGTCAAATTTAATAAAACAAACAAAAAACCTATCACGGATTGACCTTCAACGTGACTACGTTGTCTTAGCACCAACGCGACAAAAATATTTCTATACATTTCTTGTGTATATAAAAGCAGCGAAAAGTTTTAAAACAATATCAGTTCAATACCTGCGCTTTATATTTAAAAAACATCAAAAGTAAATAACTAAACAAATAAAAAATAAAAAAATGTACAAATTTGTAAGTTGTGTATAAAGGAATAAATTGTTCAAATTAATTAAATTATTTTATAAAATTAAATTTCATTAGATTGCATTGTGTTTGATGTCTCTCATGTTTGCTTTGGCCGCAGCTAAGCCTGGCGTAGTGGCTCCTCTGGCCTATTCAGCTCCTGTGGTAGCTGCTGCTCCATACACTGCCGCCTACACTGCTGCCTACACTGCACCTTATTATGCTGCTTACTCATCGCCATACGTAGCTGCACCGTATGCTGCAGCTCCCTATGCTGCTGCCTACACCAGTTATCCGTATGCGGCCTCTTACTTGTTGCGTAAATAGTTTCAAACAATGGCTTTTGAACTGTTAAACAATTGTTGAGTTGAAATAAAGGATCAATAAAAAGTTTGGAAAAAAAGAACAATAGTAAGAAACCATTAATGATTTTTTTGTTTATTTTTGTTTTTTTTTTTCTTAATAAGTACTATGGCTGCTTTTACTTAGTTTACCACATTTTATTTTAACATTTTTCTGTTTCGCTTTTTCAGCAAATAACTTAAAAGATTTTCTTCCATTACTTTCCACTTATATTTCGTTTCCTTTCATTTCTTACAACTATTATCCTTGATGGTAGATGATATGAATGATAGTGGTTGCTTTTGTTTGTCTTTAAGCTTTCACTTATTGTGTCAGAACGTTGCCAATTGGCTCACATACTTAAACATGCACATCTGTGTATGTATTTGTATACAATATTTTTATCTTTTATTTATCAAAATAACAACATAGATATATGTCTACGTATTTGTACATACGGGTTTGTGTGATGTATGTAATTTGTCTCTTTCCATTTTCAACCGTCACTGGCGGTAAACACTGCGTATTTTCACTGTTATAATAAATTTCCTGTATATGCATGATTTTCATGGACATAAACATACATCTATGCACAAATGTACATATATATGTATATATGTAAGAAGTTATGTATATATATATATATATATATATATATATATGTGTGTGTGTGCGTGTGTATGTCTGTGCTGAAAGGTTCTGAATTTTTTATAAAAAATATATCATGAAATTATTTTCATTCTTTTATCCCGACAAAGTGTTGATAAATTGTTTATAAGTAAATTCGTTGCTATTATTAATTAAATGCATTTAAAGTATTTCATGTTTATAACAAAAGTCATTTCAACACATTTTTTACAGTTTCATAATTTAAATCGAATTTAAAAAAAAAAGAAAACGTTTGCGGCTACGCAAGTAATGTAACGAAACAGCGATACATGTAATTATTCACATAATCGTAATAAAAGAAAAGGAAACCTATTGTATTTATGCATAATTCTTTCATGAAACTCCACATACCACATATCATTTGCAGCTTGTTTTCCACAAGCATCTGTGTCAACTATGTAGATCGTTCTACATAAGTCGGAATTTGTACTGACCTTTTACGTACAAGACAATGATGTATTTCCTAAACAATTAATTTTTTTTGTTTTTGCTATGGAAAAACTTACCTCCTAGAAATATTTCGCTCTTTATTCTTTATTTCTTTTTTTTTGGCCAAGAGTGAGAAAAACCACGTTGCAAACCTACGAAAGATAAATGACTTTTATAGAGATAAGCGTCGTAAGCGAAAGAGTATTTGTCGAAAGAAGTATGCTAACGAAATTTAAAGCACAAAATAGATTTTGAAACATAAGATCCTCTTCCCTTTCCCTTGATTTTAGGTCTCGCTGTTAGCCAATCAACCATTTAGCGACATTTGCATTGTACAATACCAAATTTGCATTGAGTAGCCTTTCGTAAAAATTTTTTTATTCTATGTTCAACAGTATCGATCGCAACAGTCTAGACCATTCGCTTGTTTCTCTGCTTTCCTACTGCTCTTTGAAATTTTCTATCGCATTTAACTAAAGAACGAAATGATATTTACATTTATGTTATACAAAAATTCTTCCAATTGTCCCATATGTAACTATAAAAATAATAAAACATTAAGTGACCTTCAAACGGTTGTGTATATTTTTTTCAAGCGATAAAACCCAAGATTCGCTTTTATATAGCGGACGGTTTTTTTATGGTTTTTAATTGTTCTTATTTAAAATACAAAATTTCCCAAGTCCATTAACATTCGTAGTATCACAGAAGTGCTCTCTTATATAATTTGCATCTTTTGCCTTCGCACAATGCTTACACAAAATGTGTTTCTATTATCTCTTAAGCTAAATATAAAGCCATTGTTTATATCTGAGTACGCATGAGTGAGTGTATGTGCAACTAAATATATGACCACTACACAAATTGAAAGATATGAATAAAAAGAAGATAGAAAGTGGTAGCAGCCGTAGTAGCAGTAATAGTAATAGCAGTAGTAGTAGTAGTAGTAGTAGTAGTAGTAGTAGTACTAGTAGTAGTAATAGTAATAGTAGTACTAATAATAGAAAGAGACAGAGTGAGAGAGGAAGGGCGGTTCAATTATCGTCTTGCATGTTTCCCAAGTGACCATAAATCTGAAACAATCCTGGCTGGTTGGCTAGATGCTTGACTACAGTAGTTAAATAGCTGGTTTTGATGTTTGTGTTAGGTATTTACCGAGTTGTTAACTAAGTCACCCGTTATTTTCATATAACACACATGCCATCGCTAAACTATTACATACCTAGCAAAATGATTACACAAAGTTACTCCAAAAAGCACCAAACATTTTTTAGTTGTTTTTTTTTTTGTTTTTCTCTTTAGCTTAATCACCGATTGCTTTCCTCTTTTCGTTTTTTTTTTTTTGTTACTCTATCTAGAGTCTATGCATCGCATTTTAGGCTTTCCTCACATCACATATTATATTCCATTAAGCTAAGCTGAACATAATATTTCATATTGTTGCAATTTTCTACATTGTAGCCGAAGACGCAAGGCCAAACAAACAGAAGTTAATAGAATTAATAGCAAAATTTTTTGACATATTTGATCGCACATAATTTTTGGAATAAATTCTAAAAAATAGTGGGTGTAACAAATCTTTTAATAATTTCGTAAGGTGACGCATATAGATGCCGTCAGTATCCATATAATTCATATAACTTTCAAACGACGCGACTCGAAGTTCTTGCATGAGGAAACTGTGTTCAAAGTGAATACCGCGAGTCTGCTCACTTTCGACGGAAAACAACAACGTGTTGATGATTCAAAGTGTTATTTGTAGGTATTTAGACGAAATAAAAAGAGTTGTTTCATACAATATGTGACAATGGAGAAAATACGAATTCATCATTGCACTCCAGAGTCGACGAAAGCCTTCCAAAGCGATCAAGAAAGCAAAGTCGATTCCAAAAATTGTATTATATTTTGGAATGCGCATAATGTAATATTCATCTAATATCTTGAAAACGTACAAACGATTAATCGCATATATTAGATAGCATTATTATTGTGTTCGCAAAAGAAGAAGCAAAAAAACAATTAGGGTCTATTCGGATCCTAATTTCCAAACCGCAATCTTAAATCGCCGCTGCAATTACTTCATGCAAGACATAGATTATGATCACTCTTGCTTACTTATATATATATTCGTATATGGAATTTTTCCAATTTAGATTGTCCTGCATGTATTGAAAGCACAATTTGGAGCTAAAATGATACAATGTCTGCTACAGATTCATACTTATTGCATAAAACGCCTTGTAATTTACTTTAAAAAAAAAAAAGAAGCGATACTTCTAAAGGTTTATCATTCGAATTGAACGTAGCTTCCTTCTTTCTGTTATTTCTTTTTTATCCCTTTATTATTTATGCCTCGCTATTGCTCATGCTTGCTTTACATCCTTTGTATGTGTATCTTGCATGCTTCAAGCACTATTTTTCAATTTCATATTTTGCATCAATTCATTGCTTAATATTTAAAACACTTTCTAGGTAATGTACGCCATTGCGTTGGTGGCATGAAGAAGTAAAAGTCACCATCTCTTGTTTAAAAGGAATTGTTGCCAAGGAATACGTTCGCGAATATGAAAAATAACTGTTGCAACATATTTCATAAATTTAATGTGTAATGACAAAGGTTTATTTTAAATTTATTTCACATTCTGTAAAATTTAAATGAAGAAAATTTCGTAGTGTTTAGGGAAAACAGTGAGACAATGAATTTAACTATAACAATAGACCATAATGACCAAAGGTGGAAAGATAAACCATGTCTTGATTATGAAGAAATTTCCAAGTATAAAAAACATCATAATTACATCAAAAAATCGTGCGATTACAGTTAATAGGCCACATAGCTAGCACTTAAACGCAATCAGATATTACAAGTTGCTTGTTGTTTTTCTTTCACATCCCGAACGTTTCGGCAAAAGTTCACTTTCCTATCAGTTGTTTTGCTTTTTTATTTTAAATTTACATCTTTTATATATTCGTACTTGCATTCAAGTAGTGCAAGAATATCACATGTGAATAGATATGTGTGCTTTTGTCAGGCAACATAAAATCCTTCAACCATAAACGTTAATGTCGCTTGCAATCATGTGCAGTTTTTACATGTTATATATTTATGGTCTAAATTGCTTGCAAGCAAGCTCAAGTGACGTTTAATTAATCAAATCATTCGATAACCGCGGCATGTTTCAGTTATTAAATGGGATTAAATATAAATTCAGGATATAAGTAGAAAGTAATGAGAACTGAGAGAGAGGGAGAGATAGTACTGAATGTGTTAAGTAGATTCAAGTTTTTGTACACCATTTAGGAGCTGTATAAGAGTTCAATCATTAAATTGTCTACAAATAAAATATTATAGGGCATGGATGTTCTCTAAAATTAAAATTTATTTAAATATGCATGCAGAGAGATTAAAAATATGCATCGCATAGACTCCGTATCATGTCACTCAAAAATTTCCCAGCCATGAAGTAGCATATATCAAACACCTTTATGTTCTTATATACTTAAAGTCTACATTACTTGCGGTACGGAGTATATTAAGTTTGTGCGGACATATGTAACACCCAGAAGGACTTAAGATGCAGCCATCTTTTATTATATCGATTTTAAATCGTTTTCACACCGTCTGCCCGTTGTTGCTTTGATGTCTGTCAATGTATTTTTGTGTTCTTGTGGTCGCAATTTTTGAAGTATTTTGATGAAATTAAGAGTACACCGACATGTTTTGGCGCAAAGACGAAAGCTATTGAAAATCGGGTCACTTATTTAACCAAACCTTATTTCAAATAATCCTTAAACGAATAACTGTATTAAGCAATATGGTAGGCCCTGTCCCACTGTATTGTTTTTATTTCTTATAATTCATTATAACATTTTCGGGAGATGTACAGGAGAGAGGTTCGACAAGTTATTACTTAATCTTATTAACAAACGATCTACCCCTTTTGATCGAAAATTGCGCCTTTTCCATTCATACACTCGCCAATAACACAAAAATGAATATTTTCAAAATCTTCTGCATATTGCTTTAACAACATAATTAATTAATTTCTTTTTAGATACAAAATTTTCGTCAGCTACACTGCGTGCTATAGAGCCCCTTAAATTGAAAATGTCTAATCAGAAGGGCTATAGTTTTGCAATATTTTCATAATTTTCAAGTATAACTTTTTTTAATGCTTAAATATATTTTTAATAGCATTTGTTCGGATATTGTTATTCGATTGTCATTTGTTTTACACTAAAAAAAATTGTCAAACGAAAAAAGACTTTTCTTTAGGCTGCTAGCATTGTTTACTCCACTAAGCAAGCAAAAATTTAGCCAACTGTCTGAGCTAAAAATATAATTAAAACATAAATTTGTAATATGTAGTATATATACCTTGTAAATGGCACTTTCCAATAACGCTATATTTTGCTCCCTTGTATCGGATTTTATGCGTCAATCTACTAACTTCCTAACCGTTTCACACAAAGAATTATCAAAATTTTAAATTGACATTTATATGTATTGTGTCTACCGGAAAGCGCTGTCCATTTTTAAAATCCTATTTTCCGAATGTGGTCCAAAATGGTTTGTCAAGCTCACTCAAGCTTTTCCGCAATCTCCAATTTTACTCTAATATGATCTTGACATTCCCGGCCTTGATTAAAGATGATCGCCCAAAAAGCGACTTGTCAGAAATATGGAAATTACCTATTTGAAATTTTTCGAATCATATTCTTCGTTGCTTATCATAAACGGTACCTTCACCAAACACTTTCAATATATATCTATTGTTTCTTTTAGCTCATTTGCTAGGTCAATATGTATACATTCAAGAGAGCAAAATATGCGCATACTTGTTGTAACCGCAATAGACAGAACTTGTCGGTGTGTCAATTATTTATAAATGATACAATAAATAAAATGTGACATAAACGAATATGAATTCAAAGTTTTATTTACGTGCTTGTTGGAATATGCAAATTTGCTTAGCATTTGTTTAATTAATCAGTGTTTATATTACGGTTACGACTGCAGTAATCATTAAAAGGTGGTCGAAATCGATTGAGACGAACAATGGAAAGCAGAGTTGTTTTAAATATGAAAATCCCTATAACGCACTTTGTTTGAAATGGTTAGCCTTCTGATTTATATACATTATAATCTACA